GGCTAGGTTTAGGGTTAGGGTTATGGTTAGGGTTAAGATTAGGGTTAGGGTTAAGGTTAGGGTTAGGATGTGGGTTAGGGTTAGGGTTTGGGTATGGTTAGGGTTAGGGTTAGGGTTAGGGTTAGGGTTAGGGTTAGGGTTAGGGTTAGGGTTAGGGTTAGGGTTAGAGAAAGGGTTAGGGTTAGGGTTAAGGTTAAGATTTGGTTAAGGTTAGGGTTAGGGTTAGGATAGGAGCTAGGGTTATGGTTAGGTTTAGGGTTAGGTTTAGGGTTAGCGTTAGGGTTATGGGTTAGGGTTAGGGTTGGGGTTTTGGTTATGATTAGGGTTATGGCTAGAGTTAAGGTTAGGGCTAGGGCTAGGGTTTAGATGAGGTTTAGGATTAGGCTTAGGGTTAGGGTTAGGGCTAGGGTTAAGGTTAGGTTTAAGTTTATGCTTAGCGTTAGGGTTAGGGTTAGGGTTAGGGTTTAGGTTAGGGATAGGGATAGGGATAGGGCTAGGATTATGATTATGGTTAGGGTTAAGATAAGGGTTAGGATTATGGTCATGGTTAGGTTTAAGGCTAGGGTTAAGGTTAGTGTTATGGTTAGAGCTAAGGTTAGTGTTAGCGTTAGAGTTAGGGTTAGGATTAGGATTAGGATTGGAGCTAGTGTAAGAGCTCGGGCTAGGGTTAGGGTTTAGTTTATGTTTAGGGTTAGGGTTTAGGTTAGGGATAGGGTTAGGTTTAGGAATAGGGTTAGGGTTAGGGTTTTGGTTAGGATTAGGGTTAGGGTTAGGGTTAGGGGTTAGGGTTAAAGTTAGGGTTAGGTTTAGGGTTAGGGTTAGTGTTAGGGTTAGGGTTTTGGTTAGGATTAGGGTTAAGGTTAAGTTTAGGTTTATGCTTAGGGTTAGTGTTAGGATAAAGGTTATGGCTAGAGTTTGGGTTAGGGTTAGAGCTAGGATTAGTGTTAGGGCTAGGGTTAACATTAGGGTTAGGGCTAGAGTTAAGGTTAGGGCTAGGGCTAAGGTTTAGATGAGGTTTATGATTAGGGTTATGGTTAGGGTTAGGGTTATGGCTAGGGTTAAGATTAGGTTTAGTTTTATTCTTAGGGTTAGTGTTAGGATAAAGGTTATGGCTAGAGATATTTTTAGAGCTAGGATTAGTGTTAGGGCTAGGTTTAGAATTAGGGCTAGGTTTAGGGTTAGGGTTAGGGTTAGGGTTATAGCTAGGGTTAAGGTTAAGATTAAGGCTACGCTATTGGTTAGGTTTAAGGTTAGAGATAGGGTTAGGGATAGGGTTAGGGTTAGGGTTAGGGTTATGGTTAGGGTTAGGGTTAGGGTTAGGTTTAGGGTTAGGGTTAGGGTTAGGGATAGGAATAGGATTATGGTTAAGGTTAGGGTTAAGATAAGGGTTAGGATTATGGTCATGGTTAGGTTTAAGGCTAGGGTTAAGGTTAGTGTTATGGTTAGAGCTAAGGTTAGGGTTAGCGTTAGAGTTAGGGTTAGCATTAGGATTAGGATTGGAGCTAGTGTAAGAGCTCGGGCTAGGGTTAGGGTTTAGTTTATGTTTAGGGTTATTTAGGTTAGGGTTTAGGTTAGGGTTAGGGCTAGTATTAGGGTTAGGGCTAGGGTTAGGTTTAGGATTAGGTTTAAGGTTAGGGCTAGGTTTAGGGTTTGGGTTAGGATGTGGGAAAGGGTTAGGGTTATAGTTAGGGTTAGGGTTAAGGTTAAGGTTTGGTTAAGGTTAGGGTTAGTGTTAGGATAGGAGCTAGGGTTATGGTTAGGTTGAGGGTTAGGTTTAGGATTAACGTTAGGCTTATGGGTTAGGGTTGGGGTTAGGGTTCGGGTTAGGGTTCAGGTTAAAGTTAAGGTTAGGTTTAGGGTTAGGGTTAGGGTTTTGGTTATGATTAGGGTTAGGGCTAGAGTTAAGGTTAGGGCTATAGCTAGGGTTTAGATGAGGTTTAGGATTAGGGTTAGGGTTAGGGTTAGGGCTAGGGTTAAGGTTAGGTTTAGGTTTATGCTTAGCGTTAGGGTTAGGTTTAGGGTTAGGGTTTAGGTTAGGGATAGGGATAGGGCTAGGATTATGGTTATGGTTAGTGTTAAGATAAGGGTTAGGATTATGGTCATGGTTAGGTTTAAGGCTAGGGTTAAGGTTAGTGTTATGGTTAGAGCTAAGGTTAGGGTTAGCGTTAGAGTTAGGGTTAGGGTTAGGATTAGGATTAGGATTGGATCTAGTGTAAAAGCTCGGGCTAGGGTTAGGGTTTAGTTTATGTTTAGGGTTAGGGTTTAGGTTAGGGTTAGGGTTAGGTTTAGAATTAGGTTTAAGGTTAGGGCTAGGTTTAGGGTTAGGGTTATGGTTAGGGTTAAGATTAGGGTTAGGGTTAAGGTTAGGGTTAGGATGTGGGTTAGGGTTAGGGTTTGGGTATGGTTAGGGTTAGGGTTAGGGTTAGGGTTAGGGTTAGGGTTAGGGTTAGGGTTAGGGTTAGGGTTAGAGAAAGGGTTAGGGTTAGGGTTAAGGTTAAGATTTGGTTAAGGTTAGGGTTAGGGTTAGGATAGGAGCTAGGGTTATGGTTAGGTTTAGGGTTAGGTTTAGGGTTAGCGTTAGGGTTATGGGTTAGGGTTAGGGTTAGGGTTTTGGTTATGATTAGGGTTATGGCTAGAGTTAAGGTTAGGGCTAGGGCTAGGGTTTAGATGAGGTTTAGGATTAGGCTTAGGGTTAGGGTTAGGGCTAGGGTTAAGGTTAGGTTTAAGTTTATGCTTAGCGTTAGGGTTAGGGTTAGGGTTAGGGTTTAGGTTAGGGATAGGGATAGGGATAGGGCTAGGATTATGATTATGGTTAGGGTTAAGATAAGGGTTAGGATTATGGTCATGGTTAGGTTTAAGGCTAGGGTTAAGGTTAGTGTTATGGTTAGAGCTAAGGTTAGTGTTAGCGTTAGAGTTAGGGTTAGGATTAGGATTAGGATTGGAGCTAGTGTAAGAGCTCGGGCTAGGGTTAGGGTTTAGTTTATGTTTAGGGTTAGGGTTTAGGTTAGGGATAGGGTTAGGTTTAGGAATAGGGTTAGGGTTAGGGTTTTGGTTAGGATTAGGGTTAGGGTTAGGGTTAGGGGTTAGGGTTAAAGTTAGGGTTAGGTTTAGGGTTAGGGTTAGTGTTAGGGTTAGGGTTTTGGTTAGGATTAGGGTTAAGGTTAAGTTTAGGTTTATGCTTAGGGTTAGTGTTAGGATAAAGGTTATGGCTAGAGTTTGGGTTAGGGTTAGAGCTAGGATTAGTGTTAGGGCTAGGGTTAACATTAGGGTTAGGGCTAGAGTTAAGGTTAGGGCTAGGGCTAAGGTTTAGATGAGGTTTATGATTAGGGTTATGGTTAGGGTTAGGGTTATGGCTAGGGTTAAGATTAGGTTTAGTTTTATTCTTAGGGTTAGTGTTAGGATAAAGGTTATGGCTAGAGATATTTTTAGAGCTAGGATTAGTGTTAGGGCTAGGTTTAGAATTAGGGCTAGGTTTAGGGTTAGGGTTAGGGTTAGGGTTATAGCTAGGGTTAAGGTTAAGATTAAGGCTACGCTATTGGTTAGGTTTAAGGTTAGAGATAGGGTTAGGGATAGGGTTAGGGTTAGGGTTAGGGTTATGGTTAGGGTTAGGGTTAGGGTTAGGTTTAGGGTTAGGGTTAGGGTTAGGGATAGGAATAGGATTATGGTTAAGGTTAGGGTTAAGATAAGGGTTAGGATTATGGTCATGGTTAGGTTTAAGGCTAGGGTTAAGGTTAGTGTTATGGTTAGAGCTAAGGTTAGGGTTAGCGTTAGAGTTAGGGTTAGCATTAGGATTAGGATTGGAGCTAGTGTAAGAGCTCGGGCTAGGGTTAGGGTTTAGTTTATGTTTAGGGTTATTTAGGTTAGGGTTTAGGTTAGGGTTAGGGCTAGTATTAGGGTTAGGGCTAGGGTTAGGTTTAGGATTAGGTTTAAGGTTAGGGCTAGGTTTAGGGTTTGGGTTAGGATGTGGGAAAGGGTTAGGGTTATAGTTAGGGTTAGGGTTAAGGTTAAGGTTTGGTTAAGGTTAGGGTTAGTGTTAGGATAGGAGCTAGGGTTATGGTTAGGTTGAGGGTTAGGTTTAGGATTAACGTTAGGCTTATGGGTTAGGGTTGGGGTTGGGGTTTTGGTTATGATTAGGGTTAGGGCTAGAGTTAAGGTTAGGGCTAGGGCTAGAGTTTAGATGAGGTTTAGGATTAGGGTTAGGGTTAGGGTTAGGGCTAGGGTTAAGGTTAGGTTTAAGTTTATGCTTAGCGTTAGGGTTAGGGTTAGGGTTAGGGTTTAGGTTAGGGATAGGGATAGGGCTAGGGTTATAGGTTAGGATTAGGGTTAGTGTTTGGGTTAGGTTTAGGTTAAGGGTTAAGGTTAGCGTTACGGTTAGGATTAGAATTAGAGCTAGGGTAAAAGTTCGGGCTAGGGTTAGAGCTAAGGATAGGGTTAGGGTTAGGGCTAGAGTTATTTGTTAGGATTAGGGTTAGTGTTAGGGTTAGGATAAGGGTTAGAGTTAGAGCTAGGGTTAGGGTTAGTGTTATGGATAGTTTAGGATTAGCGTTAGGGCTACGGTTAGGGTTAGGGTTTAGTTGAGTGTTAGGTTTAAGGTTAGGGCATGGGATTAGGGTTAAGGTTACAGTTAGGATTAAGGTTAGGGTAAGGGTTAGGGTTGGGGTTAAGTTAGGTTTTGGTTTAGGGTTAGGGTTAGAGCTAAGGTTAAGGTTAAGATTAGGGGTAGGGTTAAGGTTTGGTTTAGGGTTAGGTTTAAGGTTAGGGCTAAATTTAGGGTTTGGCTTAGGGTTAGGGTTAGGGTTAGGGTTTGAGTTTGATTTAAGGATAAGGATAGGGATAGGGATAGGATTATGCTTAGGGTTAGGGTTAAGATAATTGTTAGGATTATGGTCATGGTTAGGTTTAAGGCTAGTGTTATGGTTAGAGCTAAGGTTAGGGTTAGGGTTAGGGTTAGGGTTATGGTTCGGGTTAGGGCTAGGTTTATGTTTATGCTTAGGGTTAGTGTTAGGATAAAGGTTATGGCTAGAGTTAGGGTTAGGGTTAGAGTTAGGGTTAGGGTCATGGTTAGGTTTAAGGCTAGGATTAGCCTTACTGTTACGCTTATGATTAAGGTTAGGGTTATGGTTAGCGTTAGGGTTAGGGTTAGGATTAGGATTAGGATTAGGATTAGGATTAGGGTTAGGGTTAGGGTAGGATTAGAGTTAGGGTTAGCGTTAAGGTTAGGGTTAGGGTTAAGATTAGGGCTAGGGCTAGGGTTAGGGTTAGGGTTAGGGTTATGGTTAGGGTTAGAGTTAAGGTTAGGGTTAGGGTTAAGATTAGGGCTAGGGTTAGGGTTAGGGTTATGGTTAGGGTTAGGGTTAGAGTGAAGGTTAGGGTTAGGTTTAGGGTTATGGTTAGGATTAGGGGTTAGAATTAGGATTAGGGTTAGGGTTAGGGTTAGGGTTAGGGTTTGGGTTAGGATTAGGGTTAGGGCTAAGTTAAGGTTAGGGTTAGGGCTATTGCTAAGGTTTAGATGAAGTTTAGGATTAGGGTTAGGGTTAGGGTTATGGTTAGGGCTAGGGTTTAGGCTAGGTTTAGGTTTATGCTTAGGGTTAGTGTTAGGATAAAGGTTATGGCTAGAGTTAGGGTTAGAGATAGGGTTAGTGTTAGGGCTAGGTTTAGAATTAGGGTTGCTAGGGTTTAGATGAGGTTTCGATTTAGGTTTACGGTTAGGGTTTGGGTTAGGGTTAGGGTTTATAGTTAGGGTTAGGGATATGGCTAGAGATAATTTTAGGGTTAAGTTTGGGGTTAGGGTTTATAGTTAAGGTTAGGGATAGGGCTAGAGATAAGGTTAGGGTTAGGTTTAGGGTTAGGGTTAGGGTCAGGGTTAGATCTAGTGTATAGTTTAGGTTTAGGTATCGTATTTGGGTTAGGGTTAGGTTTAGGATTTGGGTTTAGGGTTAGGGATAGGGATAAGGCTAGGGTTAAGTTTAGGGTTAGGTTTAGGGTTAGAGTTAGGGTTAGTGTTAAGATAAGGATTAGGGTTAGGGTCATGGTTAGGTTTAAAGCTAGGGTAATTTTTAGCGTTAGGATTAGGGTTAGAGTTAGGGTTATAGTTAGTGTTAAGGTTAGGGTTAGGGTTAGAGCTAGAGTTAGAGCTGGGTTATGGTTAGCATTAGGGTTAGGGTTAGGAATTAGTTTAGAGTTAGAGTAAGAGCTCAGGCTCGTTAGGGTTAGAGTTAGGGTTAGTGTTAGAATTAGGGTTAGAGTTAGGGTTAGCTTTAAGGTTAGGATTATTAATAGAGCTAAAGTAAGAGCTCGGGCTAGGGTTAGGACTAAGGATAGGGTTAGGGCTAGGGTTTTAGGTTAGGATTAGGGTTAGTGTTTGGGTTAGGTTTAGGTTTAGGGTTACGGTTAGGATTAGAATTAGAGCTTGGGTAAAGGTTCGGGCTAGGGTTAGAGCTAAGGATAGGGTTAGGGTTAGGGCTAGAGTTATTTGTTAGGATTAGGGTTAGTGTTAGGGTTAGGATAAGGGTTAGAGTTAGAGCTAGGGTTAGGGTCAGTGTTATGGCTAGTTTAGGATTAGCGTTAGGGCTACGGTTAGGGGTAGGGTTTAGTTGAGTGTTAGGTTTAAGGTTAGGGCATGGGATTAGGGTTAAGGTTACAGTTAGGATTAAGGTTAGGGTAAGGGTTAGGGTTGGGGTTAAGTTAGGTTTAGGTTTAGGGTTAGGGTTAGAGCTAAGGTTAAGGTTAAGATTAGGGGTAGGGTTAAGGTTAGGTTTAGGGTTAGGTTTAAGGTTAGGAAATTTAGGGTTTGGCTTAGGGTTAGGGTTTGAGTTTGAGTTAAGGATAAGGATAGGGATAGGGAAAGGATTATGGTTAGGGTTAGGGTTAAGATAAGGGTTAGGATTATGGTCATGGTTAGGTTTAAGGCTAGTGTTATGGTTAGAGCTAAGGTTAGGGTTAGGGTTAGCGTTAGGGTTAGGGTTCGGGTTAGGGCTAGGTTTATGTTTATGCTTAGGGTTAGTGTTAGGATAAAGGTTATGGCTAGAGTTAGGGTTAGGGTTAGAGATAGGGTTAGGGTCATGGTTAGGTTTAAGGCTAGGATTAGCCTTACTGTTACGCTTATGATTAAGGTTAGGGTTATGGTTAGCGTTAGGGTTAGGGTTAGGGTTAGGATTAGGATTAGGATTAGGGTTAGGGTAGGATTAGGGTTAGGGTTTAGGTTAGGGTTAGGGTTAGGGCTAGTATTAGGGTTAGGGCTAGGATTAGAGCTAGAGTTAAGGTAAAGATTAGGGTTTGCGTTATGGTTAGGTTTAGGATTAGGTTTAAGGTTAGGGCTAGGTTTAGGGTTAGGGTTAGGGTTTTGGTTAGGTATAGGGTTTTGGCTAGAGTTAAGGTTAGGGTTTTGGCTAGAGTTAAGGTTAGGGTTAGGGCTAGGGTTTAGATGAGGTTTAGGATTAGAGTTAGGGTTAGGGTTATGGCTAGGGTTAAGGTTATGTTTAGGTTTATGCTTAGGGTTAGTGTTAGGATAAAGGTTATGGCTAGAGTTAGGGTTAGGGTTAGAGATAGGGTTCATGTTAGGGCTAGGTTTAGAATTAGGGTTAGGGCTAGGGTTTAGATGAGGTTTCGATTTAGGGTTAGGGTTAAGGTTTATAGTTAGGGTTAGGGATATGGCTAGAGATAAGATTAGGGTTAAGTTTAGGGTTAGGGTTAGGGTCAGGGTTAGATCTAGTGCTTAGTTTACGTTTAGGTTACGTATTTGGGTTAGGGTTAGGTTTAGGATTTGGGTTTGGGGTTAGGGATAGGGATAAGGCTAGGGTTAAATTTAGGGTTAGGTTTAGGGTTAGAGTTAGGGTTAGTGCTAAGATAAGGATTAGGATTAGGGTCATGGTTAGGTTTAAGGCTAGGGTAATTTTTAGCGTTAGGATTAGGGTTAGGGTTAGGGTTAAGGTTAGGGTTAGGGTTAGAGCTAGAGTTAGAGCTGGGTTATGGTTAGCATTAGGGTTAGGGTTAGGATTTAGATTAGAGTTAGAGTAAGAGCTCAGGCTAGCGTTAGGGTTAGAGTTAGGGTTAGTGTTAGAATTAGGGTTAGAGTTAGGGTTAGCTTTAAGGTTAGGATTATGATTAGAGCTAATGTAAGAGCTCGGGCTAGGGTTAGGACTAAGGATAGGGTTAGGGCTAGGGTTATAGGTTAGAATTAGGGTTAGTGTTTGGGTTAGGTTTAGGTTTTGGGTTAAGGTTAGCGTTACGGTTAGGATTAGAATTAGAGCTAGGGTAAAAGTTCGGGCTAGGGTTAACATTAGGGTTAGAGCTAGAGTTAAGGTTAGGGCTAGGGCTAGGGTTTGGATGAGGTTTAGGATTAGGGTTATGGTTAGGGTTAGGGTTAGGGCTAGGGTTAAGGTTAGGTTTAGGTTTATGCTTAGTGTTAGTGTTAGGATAAAGGTTATGGCTAGAGATATTTTTAGAGCTAGGATTAGTGTTAGGGCTAGGTTTAGAATTAGGGTTAGGGCTAGGGTTAGGGTTATGGTTAGGGTTAGGGTTAGGGTTAGGGTTAGGGTTACGATTGGGGCTATGGTTTTGGTTATATTTAGGGTTGGGTTTGAGTTAGGGTTAGGGTTAGGGTTATGGGTTAGGGTTAGGGTTAGGGTTAGGGTTAGGGTTAGGGCTAGTGTTATGGGTTAGAGTTAGGGTTAGGGTTAGGTTTAGGGTTAGGGTTATGGTTAGGGTTAAGATTAGGGTAAGGGTTAACGTTAGGGTTAGGGTTAGGATGTGGGTTAGGGTTTGGGTATGGTTAGGGTTAGGGTTAGGGTTAGAGTTAGGGTTAGGGTTAGGGTTAAGGTTAGGGTTAGGTTTAGGATTGGGGCGAGGGTTATGGTTAGGTTTAGGGTTAGGTTTAGGGTTAGGGATAGAGTTATGGTTTAGGGTTAGGGTTCCGATTAGGGTTCGGGTTAGGGTAATGGTTAGGGTTAGGGTTAGGGTAAAGGTTAGGTTTAGGTTTATGCTTAGAGTTAGGGTTAGGGTTAGGGTTTTGGTTAGGGATAGGGATAGGGATAGGGCTAGGATTGGGGTTAAGGTTAAGTTTAGGTTTAGGGTTAGGGATAGGGTTTTGGTTAGGATTAGGGTTATGGCTAGAGTTAAGGTTAGTGTTAGGGCTAGGGTTTAGATGAGGTTTAGGATTAGGGTTAGCGTTAGGGTTAGGGTTAGGGCTAGGGTTAAGGCTAGGTTTAGGTTTATGCTTAGGGTTAGTGTTAGGATAAAGGTTATGGTTAGAGTAAGGGTTAGTGTTATAGATAGGGTTAGTGTTAGGGCTAGGTTTAGAATTAGGGTTGCTAGGGTTTAGATGAGGTTTCGATTTAGGTTTAGGGTTAGGGTTTGGGTTAGGGTTAGGGTTTATAGTTAGGCTTAGGGATATGGCTAGAGATAATTTTAGGGTTAAGTTTGGGGTTAGGGTTTATATTTAAGGTTAGGGATAGGGCTAGAAATAAGGTTAGGGTTAAGTTTAGGGTTAGGGTTAGGGTCAGGGTTAGATCTAGTGTTTAGTTTAGGTTTAGGTATCGTATTTGGGTTAGGGTTAGGTTTAGGATTTGGGTTTAGGGTTAGGGATAGGGATAAGGCTAGGGTTGAATTTAGGGTTAGGTTTAGGGTTAGAGTTAGGGTTAGTGTTAGAGCTAGGGTTAGTGTTAGGGCTCGGTTTAGAATTAGGGTTAGGGCTAGGGTTTAGATGAGGTTTCGATTTAGGTTTAGGGTTTGGGTTAGGGTTTATAGTTACGATTAAGGTTAGAGTAAAGGTTAGTGTTAGGGATAAAGCTAGAGTTATGGTTAGAGCTAGGGTTAGGGTTAGCTTTAGAGTTAGGTTAGGATTAGGATTAGGATTAGAGCTATTGTAAGAGCTCGGGCTAAGCTTAGGGTTTAGTTTATGTTTAGGGTTAGGGTTTAGGTTAGGGTTAGGGTTAGAGCTAGTATTAGGGTTAGGGATAGGGTTAAAGCTAGGGTTAAGGTTAAGATTAAGGCTAGGGTTATG